CTTTTTATAAACTGCTGTTAATAATGATGACCGTGCTCGTAAACTGGTTACAAAAATAATCTGCAAGTATTGATGTAGAATTATAGATCCCATTAAGCCTGTTAAAAATAGCATAGATGCATAAAAGTATCCCCAACATTTATCAATCTGTCTATTTTTTATTACTTCAATTGATTTTCTAAAGATAAGAAGTTATATAAAATAAAGAATTTATATTTAAAATATATACTTTATAAATTAATTGTAACTAGAACAAAACAAAGTATTTATTTTATGTACTTGGTTTGCATATTACGCATATATATTTATGCATTGATAAACAAATAAATAAAAAAGTATAATAAGTAGAATGAACATTAAAAGTTTTATTTTTTGTTGTTTGATTTTTAAAATTATACTATGCTATGTCTAGAGTTTCAATTATTCTTTTTCTTTTCAGTAAAAATATTGTTTACAGCAATGCCATTATTTATAAATCTTAAAGCGTATACATAAATTAAATATGAAAGAATAAGTACACACCCTTTTTTTTTCAGTGGTTACATTAAAATCTTTTAAACTGTTTTGTATTTTGTTTACAAAGTGTTGAGGTTTCAAAAAAATGCATTAGTTTTTTGATTTAACTTAAAATTAGTTTTAAAAATGACAAAAGAAGAAGACATAAGAGAAAAAATAATGCACAAATATTTGGAAAATTCCAATAGTAGCTACAATTCGATAGCAAAAGCGTTGCAAATACATCCATACACCGTTAGTCGTGTAATCCAACATTTTTCTCAAACAAAATCGATCAAACGTAAATCTGGTGGTGGAAGAAAGAAGGGTTTTAAAGATAAAAAACTAATTAGAAAACTGATTAACAGTTTTAAGACTAACTCAAGCCTTTCACTAAGGGAGCATGCAAACATTTATGGACTTTCTTATAGTTTTGTTGTAAAAGTTCGAAATAAACATGGTTTTTATTCTTTCAAAGCACAAAAAGTGCCCAACCGATCTGAAACTCAACAAAAAAGTGCAAAAACCCGCTACAAAAAGTTGTATGACAATTTTATTTTTAAAAATTTCTGTATTATTGAAGACGATGAAACTTATATCAAGTACGATCATCAGCAAAATCCTGGTGACGTCTATTATATTGCCAAATATAGAGGAAAATAGATAAGAAATTTAAATACATAAATCACGACAAGTTTGCTAAAAAAGTCTTGATTTGGCAAGCTATTTGCAGTTGTGGCAAAAAATCACCACCTTATATTTCTTAGTCCACACTTTCGGGTCAAATATATGTTAAAGAGTGTTTACAAAAACGCCTTTTACCTCTCATTAAATCACACAATAAGAGACCTGTGTTCTGGCCAGATTTAGCTTCAATTCATTATTGTAAACTAGCTTTGGAATGGTATAAAAATAATAATGTGAAATTTGTGCCTAAAACAAAAAATCCTCCAAACTGCCCAGAATTAAGAGCTATTGAAAAGTACTGGGCCATTATTAAAAGAAAAATGAAAAAAACAAAAAAACTTTGCAGAAATATAAAAGATATTAAAATATCATTTAAAAAAGCATCAAATGGCTTCAATTCTTATTCTGTGCACAAGCTTATGGGTACCACCAAAGAAAAAGTTCGAAATTTTATTAGATTTCCATAGGAATAATTTGATTTTTTTTATATTTGATCTTCTTATATTATTGTATTAAAGTTATTACTTGGTTAGAAATAAAAATTGAAGAGTACTTTTTTTTAGTTATTTTTCTACTTTCACATTTATTTTGTGTACACGCTTTATAATAAATTCAAAATATTGTAAAAATGTTGACAAACATTTTACAACTATTTATTACGAATTTTGTTAATCTAAACTTAGTCATTATTTAATTTTGTGCCTTCTAAATTAATTTATAGAAACCTGTTTATTTGGTGTGGAATTGGTGCGGAAGAAGTAAAGTGCTCGCTTTGTAAACAAGTTCTGAGTTTGATTCAGAATAGTTTTTTGAATATATAATGATAAATGAAAATAAAATGTAATATCTTTGGATTAAAATAACAAAAACTTGTATGTATGAAAGAATATTGGAGCTAAATCAAAAAAAAAGTGTAAGAAACCATTCTTTGTTGAAACCAAATAAAAACAAGTAAAAAAATCCTTGTATTCACTTGCTCAACTGTTAATGTAAAAATTAATTAATAAGGGTTAGTGTGTTTGATTAATGTGTCATTGTGCTCAAATAATTTTTTTATAAGTAGATTTTAGTTATTATTTTTAAATTATTTCTAGAATATTTTTTTTTAAATACAGTTTATTTATACTATTTAGATTTTTCTACCTGTTTGACAATACTAGATAAAATACTTTTATATAATTTAATATGCACATTGTGCCAAAACAGCATAGACTTTTAATTTAATTGTGTATCATTATATAGATAAAGAAATTAGTTGAGGAAGAACTTAAACATAAATAAAAACTTAAAAATAAATAAAAACTGTATAATACACACACACACACACACACACACACACACACACAAATATATATATATATATATATATATATATATATACAAATAAAATTTAAATTAAAAAACAAAATATTTGTTTACCCTAACAACCATGGCTGGACAAACAATAAAATTAGATAAAGTAACTGCAGCATAGGAGCTACAATTAAATAACGTTTGCCACAAGTTTCCAGCAATACTTTTAATACTGATAATCTGTACTTTCGACATTTACTTATATTTTTGTAAGCAATATCTTCTGAAACAAATTGAGGATTTCTAAAAGTTTTCTGTTTTTCTATATCACTTTCATCTGCACTTCTGAAACAAAAATAGCAAGTAAAAGTAAGGATATGCCTAGTTGATATTTTTCTCTTCTAACACAGGCTCTGGAGCTTTGTTCAATTGACAACTTTACACAAAGATACTTATTTTATATGTAAATATAAAAACTAAAAGTAATATTTTTCAAGTAGAGTCACTAATTATCAGTTATTATTTACATCATTAAATTAGAAGTATTAGTTTTATATTGTTAGTTACATAGTATTAGTTACAAGTCATTAGTTACAAGTCAATAGCTATCAGTCAAACGTTAATTAAAACTGGAATTAAAAAAATAAACATTTTAAATACTAAAAATTGGTATAAAGGGTGTTTGTTCATTAATAAAACTCCAGAAAACGCTGTGACATCGGTGTAAATGTTAAATAATAACATGTTTAAGTGTTTATGTAAATTACGAAATATATAGCTACAAAAAAAAGTTATATTCATAAATAATTGTTCTTTTGTTATGAAAAGGAGCTCAAAAGTAAATTAGGTTTAAAAAAACAAAAAAATTGAAAAAAAAAAAACTTGCAAAAAATGTCATAAATTAAAGTCAACCAGTTTGCTGCTTATTTTATTATTTATCCTAAAGCAACCATTAGAAAAGGAGCTAAAAAATTCTAAGTTTTAACCGCAAACATATGCTGTTAAAAACGAAGACAAACATCAAACACCAACACTATCGAAAGTGAATTACAAACAAAATTGTCTTAGCAGCAAAGAGCTATTACTTGCTCTAAATTCCGAATTTAATATAAAAATAAAGTAACAAAAACTATAAAACACAAAAAACCACAGTCATCACCAAGTTCGCTAAACCTATTATTCACCAATATTCGTGGTCTTGGAAGTAACTTTTCTTCTGTTGAGTTTTATCTCTTGCAAAGTTCACCAGACTTACTTGCTCTTTGTGAGACTAATTTGAGTTCAGCTGTCTCACCTTGTGATCTTAGTGTTGATGGTTATCTTCCTTTATTTCGTAAAGACTCCAATAGTCACAAGCTTGGCCTAGGCATTTACATTCGTAAGAATTCACCCATTGTCGGAAAACTAGGTTTGAATTCACAGACTACTCTTTTATGTGCTTTCATTTAGCACCACTTCACTCTATCACCTTTCTCTTTGTTCTATATCGCTCTCCTACATCTCCAGACTGCACTCTTCTTGATGTTATTTCTGATTTTATTGACCACGCCCTCATTCTTTATCCATCAGCCAATATTGTTGTTGTCGGTGACTTTAATGTTTATCACACTGAATGGCTTGACTCTAGTGTCAGTGACTATGCAGGCATTAAGGCCCACAACCTTTGCCTTTCTCAATCCCTAACTCAAATAGTCAACTTTCCAACTCGCTTTCCAGACAACTCGAATCATTCACCTTCTCTACTCGAATTATGTCTTGTTTCTAATCCTAGTCAGTGCTCAGTTTCACCACACTCACCCTTAGGTGCTTCTGATCATGGTTTGGTCTCTCTAAAACTATTATCTCATTCTTCTTTACAATTAGAATCCCCCTATCATTGAACATCTTACAACTACCTTAAAGCTGACTGGGACTCTTTCCGTGATTTTCTTTGTGATGGCCCCTGGGTAGAAATCTTTCGTCCTGTTGAGAAATGTGCTTCTTACATAACTTCGTGGATTCAGGCTGGCATGGAATCTTTTATTCCCTCTTGACAATTCCAGGTCAAGCTTCACTCTTCTCCATGGTTTTCCTCACATTGTGTTGCTGCAATTGCCTATCCAAACCATTACTTCCATATCTATCAGCAAAAAAACTCTACAGAATATAGATATATGTCTATTATTACTAGGAACCATTGTAAAAAGGTTTTGTCTAATGCCAAAGCCCGCTATTCTCAGATCATGAAATCTCGTATTTCATAACAAAAAGTAGGCTCTCAAAAATCAGCAGATGCAGATAATTTTTATATTTTAAATAGGAATAAGGAACTAAGTAGTCAAGTTGAACAATTAATTTCTAAAGAAAAAAAATAATGTGGAGCAAATAGATAATTTAAAAATACAGGTATCAAAGTTGGAAACTGAAGTTATATATTTAAATTCTAAAAACAAGGCTCTCAACACACATTGTAACTCATTAAGTTCTCAATTAGAGACTATGAGTATTAGGCTAAAACAGGAGGAGCAGTTCCAACTTTTAAAAAAAAAAAAATTAACACTGTACATTTGCATCTGCTCGTGTAAACACACTGTAAATTTTCATCTGCTCGTGCCAAAAATGTAAGATTGCTAAAAAAATTTAAATTTGAAAAAAAAAATGCAAAAATCAGTGATATAAACAAGAACAGTTGCCGAATTTGCAAATATTTTGCTAGCAGTGATAAGGATTTAGTTGTCGTTGATTCTTATTTAGACTATGACAACATTGGTTCCTCTGAATTATTCTGTGGGTTTAAATTAGGTAATCCACAGACTATATCAGTTAAAAAACCAATAGTTGGTAAGAAATATACTTACATTAAGTTAGGAGATGGTAAATTCTTATTCTAAGTTAGGTAGGCATGCTGCAGCTAGACGATCTAAACTTGCTTTTATATTCCTTCGATTATTAGCTCGTTCAGATTTGGAAAGTGATTTGTCTATGTTGTTTTGTGACTCTGTGTCCTTGTGAAAAGTCTATGTTTCATTGTGCTGCAAATAAGTTGGGTTTAGTTAGGCAGTTAAGTGTTTCTGATGCTGTAGAGCTGCAGAGCCAATTAAGGATGCCCACGGCTGAATTCCGTAGGCTAAGACGTATTCTGTGTAATCTTGGTGCAAGGATTCTCCCATCTGAGCCCAAGATATGACAAGAACAAGAAATGCGGACAATGCATGTTAGTAAAGAACTTGTTACTGTAAAGCCCATGTTGCTTTATCCATCTGCGAATGAAGCACCTTGTTTAGTACCTGTATTGATGGTCAAGAATTTGATAACTTATATTGAAGAGGTTTTCAATAGTCTGCACGTTCGTGACCACTTCAATTCTGATGTCGGTTTTTGCGAAGAGGTATGGCTCCTTTTTGCTGGGGATAAGGGTGGGAAGTATATGAAATTCCATTTTTGAAGTTGTCAATTCTAAATCATCAGGGTCTGTATATGATGTTCATTTATTTTGTATGTATCAGGGTTCAGACTGTCGTGAGAATATTGCCTTAGTTCTCGGGCATTATGCCAACGACATTAAAAGAATTCAGTCGTCAGATTTTAAGCTAAAAGGCAAAATAGTCAGGTTGTTCTTAGGTGGAGATTTTCATTTTATCGATGATGTTCTGGGACACCAGGGTTCAGCTGCTAGCTTTCCTAGTTCTACAGACCTAGTTAAGTTGAATTCTCTAAGAAACCATGCTTCTATGCCTCACACACCTGCTAATTGTAACATCTTAAGGAGGACAATACAATCTCTGGAAAGTGCTTACAATGAGAACTTGTGTGAAGATAGACAAGGTGGAAACCTAAGAGCTCTAGGTAAGTTTCATAATTCAATTATTGCTCCTGTGATTTTCCCCATAATAACTTTAGATAATGTAGTGCCACCTGTTTTGCATATTATGTTAGGAGTTGTGTTAAAACTTTAATAAGTTATTGTTGAAGGAGTGTAAGACTTTGGATTGTCAAGCTGTTTCGTCTTTGTCGCATAATGGAGAATGTGAGAACGAATGAATTGTGGGCTGCTAAAAGCTTTGAATGTTCTAAAACAGCAGACTCTTTACGTTTATTAGGAAATCAATTTGTAGACGTTGCAAATCTACAGACTCGTTGGTTAGCTTTTGATAAAAATATTTCTGAATTGGAATGCATATCTCTAAACTCCTCCAATAAAAAAAAAACTTGTAAACAGCAAGAAAAGTGTGCTAGTATCAGGTGTTTAATTACTAAATATGATTGTAACATTGATTGGGTGCAGTGTGGTACGTGCCAAAAATTGTTCCATCAATTTTGTGAAATTATTGGTGGTTCGGAAAAGAATGTATTGTGTGATATAGAGAAGTATGAGTGTTTAGCATGTCAGGGTGAAGATTTAGAATGTCTTGACTTTTATATTTCTGAAAAAATTTCTTTTTATACGCGCACAGCGCGAAGTTTTAGACGTTGAGTATATTCGATTGCAGATAGAGTGTGAAGACCTAGAAAAAATATCTATAAGTAGCATGGGGACTCATGAGAGGTCTCTTTATAAGGCCCTTGAAGATATGAAAGTTGAGCGACAAGCTTACCATGGTAATGTATTTGTAGGTAATCATTGTAAAATAGTATTAAGAAACCACTATAAACTTTGTAGTGTTATTGATAATGAAGCAATTAAAAATAGATTTGTACGTAATGTTTGTTCAAAATAATAATAATTTTTTATTACAATGATTTAATATATTATTAGGTAGATGCCCATTCTGTTCCTATTTTCAAAAGTTTATTATATCTATGCAATGCCATTGCTCAGGTTAAAGAATGGAATAAAAGTCTAGCATCAAATGTATAGCTAACTATTTTAATTTGTGATCAGAGCAACTGGTATGTTTGTTGGATATGATTTTGTATGTTTATGTAGTTAATTCAAAAAACGTTTTATCCTTTGTTATGTAATATGTAACATTTTTTATATATATTAGATCTCCGTTCAATTTTTATCATCAAAAGTTAGTTCTACCTTCGCAGGACCTCTGCTCTACATACCTCCTCTCTGGTTAAAGAATGGAATATAAGTCTCATTTATCAAGTTGGTGTAAAAATTTAGCTTGATAAATTAAGAAGTTGTAAACTTTATTATCACAATTGCCAAGTTGACCAAATGTTCTTCTGGTTTTAAATGAATTATGTATGAGTCTAGTATCAACTGGGTGTTCAAAGATAGTTTACTGCTTGAAGAACTTATCAATGGACCAACTAATTATAAAACAGTTTTTAATGAAAATAAAAACGAATTATCAAAATATTTAAATCAGCTATTTGTGTATATTTAAACACTTTATTTTTTGTGAGAAGAGATTTTTGATACAAGTACCATAAAATAATTCTACTACCAAAAGCTAGGTTAATTCAAAACCTTTAACTCAATTTTGGTCATGAATTATTTTATTAGAATTGATGAGTTTTTATTTATTAACTACCTAACACCATATTATTAGAACTTTATTTTGTAATGTAATGATTTTATCAGCGTTCCAAAATAATTTTCTAAATCAAGAACTTCTATATTAAAAAAAGGACTCATTTAACAACTAATCCCCCCTTATAACGACGTTTTTCATAATTTTGCGAAAAATGTGGTTTGCTTTCACAATTCGATTAAGGCTGTTTTAGTTAACCTTAAATAATTAAGTAAGGTTTTTTTGTTTTCATTATTGTCAAACAATAAGTGTATTTGATAATAACTATTAGGAATATATTTTTCTAATTTTTTTTTTGATAAAAAGTAACATCAAATTACAAAAATTTAGCCAAATTCAATATATGTCATATTTATTCTAAACTAAAAGAAGTTTTTCTACTAATGCATTAAATGTCATAAGGTAAAATATTTTATTGATGTCTTAATTGTTTTTACAAAACAAAATTACCTCTTATATTTCAAAAGTTATAAAAGTTTTAGTAACACCTCTTTAGTCAATATTTTCAAAAATTAACAAGAAGCCGTTAAGCTCGGTTTGAAACAGCCGTGATATATATATATATATATATATATATATATATATATATATATATATATATATATATATATATATATATATATATATATATATATATATATATATATATATATATATATATATATACTCTTGCATGTCTCTTGCATGGCATCAAAAAAAGTTTCCCATAAACTAGGGTTGTTTGCCGAAAAACAAAACTTGCGAAATTTTCGCATCTTTATCTACCGTAATAGAATTGTTATTGCGGAAGTTGCACATGCAAAAATGCACATTCCGTAACGCGCAATACGAAAATATAAATAAATAAAATTCCGTAATAAAGCATTGCGAAAGAAAACTTGCGAAACAAATCATTTTGTAAGAATACTTACGAAATAGTTCCTTACGGAAGATGCATTCCGGAATGTGTAGTTACGAAAAAGACGCAAAGGATTTTATGTTACGATATATTTAAGATATTAACTGTTAACAGTTTAAATAATAAATAATAAAATTATAAAAAAATGTTGTCAAATGATTCTTCAAATGTTTATACAAATATACCTAATATATATATATATATATATATATATATATATATATATATATATATATATATATATATATATATATATATATATATATATATATACATATATATAAAGTAAATTCCCGTTAAGTTGGACTCTCAATGAACAGATAAACAGTATGCCTTTCTTTTTAAAAAGTATAAAGAGGATGTGTGATAAACAATTTAATACTTTATTATAAAGAACGAGAGATCTCTCTAAAGGTAAATGATATCAGAAATAGTAAAAAGAGAAGAAATATATGTGAAACAGCGGGATGTGAACCTGGGTCTCCGCGGCCAAATGTCTTAACTGAATGAGCTAAACGTTCATTCAACTAAGTGAATAGTATTATTTATTTATTATATAATTAAGAAACTATATAAAACAGAATTTACAGAAAATGATACGTATGCAAATAGGATTCTATATATCAGGAAAATGTATAGTAATGTGAACCTTTAGTTGCTTATAATTATTATCTGGACTCGAAAACTAGTTACTTTTAATGGAACACAATAGGCTGTAGGAGCCTCAGGGAAATTATATTCAGAAATGATTATATTAGACTCAGAGTTAGCTAGAAATTATTACAAAGTGTTTAGGACAGATATCTAGTACAAAAAAAAGATTTAAAGCAAAATGATTTATATTATTTGAAAAAGTTGTTTTACGTACATTTCATCATAATTTAAGTAGAACTTATTAAAGCAAGGAAAACGTATAGAATTAAGCACAATGAACTCAATCTTAAAAAAATAAGTAACAGAAGAGAGGTTGTCACTATTATGAAGGTGACGAAAGATCTGTAATATAGAACATGGAGGTCAAAAAATGCTATCTTAAGTAAAAAGAGTTTGATGAACAAAAGTTACAATGGCTGCGGGATGCGAACCCGGATCTCTGCGGCAAATTATCACGTATCTAACTGATTGAACTATAAGATCTTATACTTAAATTTATATCTTATTA